GGACCACTGGGGACTTAGGGAAAGAAAAGACTCAAAAGAGGGTTAAGGAAGGCAATGGCACCAGTAATAGTAGTTTGTCAGGGTCGGGAATGGACAGCAAACCAGGGAAGCGCAGTCGGACCCCTTCTAATGATGGGAAAAGCAAAGATAAGCCTCCAAAGCGGAAGAAAGCAGACACTGAGGGAAAATCTCCATCTCATAGTTCTTCTAACCGACCTTTCACCCCCCCTACCAGTACAGGTGGATCTAAATCTCCAGGCAGTTCAGGAAGATCTCAGACTCCCCCAGGTGTTGCCACACCTCCCATTCCAAAAATCACTATTCAGATTCCTAAGGGAACAGTGATGGTGGGCAAGCCGTCCTCTCACAGTCAGTATACCAGCAGTGGTTCCATGTCTTCCTCAGTAAGCAAAAGCCACCATAGCCATTCTTCCTCCTCCTCTTCCTCGTCTTCTGCTTCCACCTCAAGCAAGGTGAAAAGCAGCAAATCAGAGGGTTCTTCAAGTTCCAAATTAAGTAGCAGTATGTATTCTAGCCAAGGGTCCTCTGGATCCAGCCAGTCCAAAAATTCATCCCAGTCTGGGGGGAAGCCAGGCTCCTCTCCCATTACTAAGCATGGACTGAGTAGTGGCTCCAGCAGTACGAAGATGAAACCTCAAGGGAAGCCATCATCTCTTATGAACCCTTCTTTAAGTAAACCAAACATATCCCCCTCTCATTCAAGGCCAACTACAAGCTCTGACAAACTTGCCTCTCCAATGAAGCCTGTTCCTGGGACTCCCCCATCTAAAGCCAAGTCCCCTATCAGTTCAGGCTCTGGTGGTTCTCATATGCCTGGAACTAGTTCAAACTCTGGCATGAAATCATCTTCAGGGTTAGGATCCTCAGGCTCATTGTCTCAGAAAAATCCTCCATCATCTAATTCTTGTACAGCATCTTCTTCCTCCTTTTCCTCAAGTGGCTCTTCCATGTCATCCTCTCAGAACCAGCATGGGAGTTCCAAAGGGAAATCTCCCAGCAGAAATAAAAAGCCGTCCTTGACAGCTGTCATAGATAAACTGAAGCATGGTGTTGTCACCAGTGGCCCTGGGGGTGAAGACCCAATGGATGGCCAGATGGGGGTGAGCACAAATTCTAGCCATCCCATGTCCTCCAAACATAACATGTCAGGAGCAGAGTTCCAGGGCAAGCGTGAGAAAAGTGATAAAGACAAATCAAAGGTTTCCACTTCGGGGGGCTCAGTAGATTCTTCTAAGAAGACCTCAGAGTCAAAAAATGTAGGAAGCACTGGGGTGGCAAAAATTATCATCAGCAAGCATGATGGAGGCTCCCCCAGCATTAAAGCCAAAGTGACTTTGCAGAAACCTGGGGAAAGTAGTGGAGAAGGGCTCAGGCCTCAGATAACCTCCTCCAAAAACTATGGTTCTCCACTTATCAGTGGTTCTACTCCAAAGCATGAGCGAGGCTCTCCCAGCCATAGTAAGTCACCAGCATATACCCCCCAGAATCTGGACAGTGAAAGTGAGTCAGGCTCCTCTATAGCAGAGAAATCTTATCAGAACAGTCCCAGCTCTGATGATGGTATCCGACCACTTCCAGAATACAGCACAGAGAAGCATAAGAAGCACAAAAAGGAAAAGAAGAAAGTAAAAGACAAAGATCGGGACCGGGAACGGGACAAAGACCGAGACAAGAAAAAATCACATAGCATTAAACCAGAGAGTTGGTCTAAGTCACCCATCTCTTCTGATCAGTCTTTGTCTATGACAAGTAACACAATCTTATCTGCTGATAGGCCCTCAAGGCTCAGTCCTGACTTTATGATTGGGGAGGAAGATGATGATCTCATGGATGTGGCCCTGATTGGCAATTAGGGACCTTATTTTTTAAAACAAACATGACCAGAGGAAAAATGAGTTTATAGGCAAACTGCCAGAAGGGGTGAGACATAGGTCTGATTTGTGCATAAGAATCTTAAGTGGCATGTCTTTGACACCAAGTTGAGTGAGTTTAGAAAGGCATATCCAGACCCTACTAAAGAAACCAGAGGGTTTAATTATGGTTACCAAGAATTCGTTGTTCTTTTGCTAGAAAGAAATGTTAAACTTAACAAAGGGAAGGGGTGGGTGGTAGGGGCACAGGGAGATGGAAGGGTGGGAAACAATTTTGTGGGAAATATTCATGTATATTTTTTCTCCCTTTTTCCATTTTTAGGCCCTGTTTTAAATTCATTTTAGTGCATGTAATTTGAAAGGGCTGGGCAGAAAATGAAAAAGCAATACATTCCTTGATGCATTTGCATAAAGGTTGTTCACTTTTGGGTAGTTGTCCATTTGAAGCATGGGCAAATGAAGGACTTTGGTTATTTTGGACACTTAAGTAATGTTTGGTGTCTGTTTCTTAGGAGTGATGGGGGAGGTAAGATTATTTTAGCTATTTATTTGTAATATTTTAACCCTTTTATCTGTTTGTTTTTATACAGTATTTCTTTTTAAACCTATGAGGTTTAGGGCTCAGAATGATAGAAGGTAGAAGAGCAAGGCTTATTTTGTGGTTAGGAGCTTACAGCTTGTGCTGAGACTCTTAAACATCAAGCCCAGGAGTATTAACCCTCCTTTGGAGTTAAATAGAAAAACCAAAACAATTATTTTTATTTTAGAATGTTTTTCATTATTGGGTTCATACATCAAAGGACTATTAGGAGCAACCTCCCTGTGGAGGTACTGATTTGTAATATTTTTCCTTTAAAAAAAAAAAAAAGCTGGGGTGGCTTTTTGGAATGTAAACATGTTTCTGGATGTAATAAGGTTTAATGTGGGACAGCTTTCCTGACCAGTGGCATGAAAACCATTACAGAATTAGTAGTTCTCCTATTTCCACAATGTGCCAAAAGTCTGCATCCCAGCATTTTGTTTGCAGGAGAACTGATGCCATTCCTAAAAGCTGGGCTCTTTGTTTTTCTTCATTACAAGGAGAAGGAGTCCAGACTTTAATCACTCCACTGTATGCTCCCTGAGATAAAACAGTAAAAAATATGCAGCCATAGTTCACTTAAAACAATTTCAAGCTCACTTGAAATAATGGGGGCCTGAAATGCTAGGTGAGCATGAAGATAAACCCTTGCTACTATGTAGCAACACAATTGGACCTTTTTGGAGATAATAGGTCTGAGTCTGGATTCTGCGGGACATCAATACGAAGCCTTCTCATAAATATAGACATCCAGGAGACCATTTTGAGTGCAACAGAAGTTCTCAGTATTTGGAGGGTCCTCTCAAAATTCTGCGGCCTTACTTTGATTTTGACACCTGCACTGTGCCATTCCTGATGATTCCATTCAGGATTTGTATCAGCGGGACGGAGCATGGTCCCCAGCACAACTCTTCTGGATTTAAAAAAAAAAAAAGCCAGGTGATTCATATATGTTCGTGTGTCATAGTGGAGTGACTTCATCAGATATAGATTTCTATATGCAGCTCTTTCTGCTGGTTGAAATTAGCATAGAGTTGGAAAATCGGCTTTGGCTTTCTTTCCTGACTGTCTCTCATTTCCTCTAGTGTTCTCCCTTTTCTGGTCATCAGCTCTCAACGACTCTGCCACTTTTGTGTCCCAATGTTATAAGAAGTAGGAAACAAAACATTGCAAAGTGGAGCAAGAAAAGTTATCAGTTACCATATCAGAGTCAAATGTCTTGGGTGACACTAAGGAGGACACGGGCAAGGTGATACCAGAGTCCTTTATCTTGTGATGCTGATAGATACAGTAGCAGCCTCTCAGGCATACGACCAGGTTGGATTTCTCACAAGTTTATCACCTAGTTTTGAATCCTATCCCATTGTTTTCTTCAGGAAAATAAATGTTACTTGGTTTTAAAGTTTGCTCTGGGTGGGGAATATCTGGATGGGTAATGTACTAAATAGTATCAGGGGCTTAGCTACCCCAAACAGAGCCAACAAGTACCAAAATGAGTAAACTGGGAAGCTTTTTCTCTCTTTCTGTCTTCATCCCAGATCAAAGAATCCCGAGTTAGGATCTGGATGAAGGATAAGCCCCTGAATTGTCGATGGGCACACCCCACACACTGACCAAGCATCTGAACTTGCTTAACAGGGAGCCGGGGCTAAACTGCTTCACCCTGCCTGAGAACCAGGGAGCACTGCATTTCTCCACAGGGTGGAGGAGAAGAGACAGAATAAACCAAGCCTGGGACACCTCCCTCCTGTCTAGGTGTACTCATTCTCCTGTTTCAAAAGACCGCAAGGACATGAAGTCAACTTCTGCCTATCTTCTGCTGCTGGTGTCTTATGTATTCTCAATTTGACCTGATTCTTCCTCTGTCTTTTGGCTTCATGTTAGGGGTTCTTGATCAAAACCTGCTCTGATGTACATGAAGATTTCAGGTTCAAAATCAATGTGTCTTAATTAAAGTATTGAAGGGGCATGCAAAATAGGATGTAATTGCCAAAACCAGGCTTGAAGTGGGTGACTGTTTAAAGGCTTTTCCTTCTTCAGGCCTAGGTCTGATAATTTAGTGCAGCAATATCATGAATTCTCAGAAGAAACCCTTGCAGGGAGTCAGTGAGTCATACAGTATCCACAGTTGAGTCACTTAAAGCAGATGTCAGTATAGGAAACACTATTCATAATCCTTAGGGGATCTCCTTTTATTTTTGTCCCCTTTCTATTGCCCCTACCCATTTATTTCTGCCCTTCAGTTAGTTTTTGGAGGGGCAGGAAGTATTTAACATCTCAGAAACTAGGTTGGGAAATGTTCAGCCATGAGAGCTGAGTTTTAAATTTTCAGTTTAAAAATGTACATCAAGAGCAGTTGGGGAGGGTCTTTTCTATGAAAGAAGATCTTTCAAATTTGATTTTCTGTGTGTATGGCCGTTCTGTAAATATTTTGAGGTTTCTCATTTTTTTGAAAGTAGACAAAATCTGTGGGATTTTTTTTTTCCTGGAACATTACAAAAGAACCTGTTTACTTACAAGCAAATAAATTTCTTTGATAAGTAATATGCCTATGTGTAATACATTTTTAACTTCTGAATAATTTTTATTTGTTCATCTTTTCAGAAATTAAAAAAATCCTTTTCAGGCTAGCCTCTATGATTTAATGGTTAAAGGAGATGGATCTCATAAAGCCAACTGTAGTGCCAGTCCCAGCCTGGGAGCTTAAAAAACCACCTGGAGGCTTGCACATGTGTCCCTCAAATCCTCACTGAGTGGAGAAATGGAGAAGGGATTGTGGCATGACCACATCCTAGCAAGGGGTGTTTTCTCTCTCTGTCTCTTGGTTGCCGGGGAGAGCTAAAGGCCTCTGGTAATTGAAAAACAAACAAACAAAAAAACCCACCTGTTTTGTGAGTACTCTTCCAGAGGGGCCACTGGAATGGCTAATTGGTAGACAGTTTAGAGCTTTCTGCCATATGTTTATCTGTGTGTGCCAGTTTTCCTACCTTTTACAGTTGTGACTCACCAAATTCATCAGTTCTTGCTGGGAGAAAACAGCTCTAAGGTGAGACTGAACTAAAAGATTCTACTGGTTTAAGTGAAGCAAAAACATTACAAGTATCTGCGATGAGAGAATATAATATGTAGACCTGTATTTGAGCCTGAGAGTGAGTTTTCTGAAATGAGATTCCTAGCAACTCCTTAGTTTTGGAAGCCATCTCTACAATAAAATAAAAAAGGAAGCTTTATAAAATGCTTTTAACAGTTGAGTAGTAAACCTAACTAAAATGTGCATGCTCTTAAAAGATCTACAGTGCTTGTTCTTTTCATTCATTTCTTAGTCAGATTAATAGCAGTCTAGTCACCAAAAGTACTAATTAAAATGGGTGTGAGGGCACACTCATAATTTCTTTGGGAGCATACAATTAGAAGGAAGTCAATGTACTGCTGTTTCTGCCAGGAATTTACGATGCGCTTTTCAATATTTCCCATTTGCGATAAAACTCTGTAGTTTGTTGCTCTTTGAAGAGGAAACTGGAGTATTCCTTAGTTCGCCGAAATTCGGTCATAAATCAGGGAGGTTGAAGGCCGGGGTTGTTAAAATAATGTGATGACACAGACCAGCTTCTATACAAGGCGCCCCAGTCAGAAGAAAGTCATAGTTTCCACCGGGCAAACGCCCCCGCCTACTCAACTCACACGCTTGTTTCTCCCGCCAAAGTGGCGTCAGGCTCAGGCAGCTACCAACCAGCGCCCTGATTGGAGGACGAGCAGGCACTACAGCC